GGGGGGTGCATTATGTCACATACTATGTCCACCTCTATGCCACCTAGACTAAAAACATGTGACAAGCATAAGATGCTTCTGCATTAAAATAACTTCAAAAGATTTTTAGAAAAATGTGAATTGTAAATAAGATCATTTTCTAAACCTGAATTCTTTCCCTCACAGTGTAGATATCTCCTGAGTTTAACTTCTGAATCATGACCCAGAAAGTAAGCCACCCCCGACCCTCCAACCCTCCACCACAGCAGCAAATCATTCCAGGAAGCTTCCACTGGAGGCCTTTCTCAATCCCTTCTCTCAGCACCACACATCCATCCACATACATCGTATAAAACATTTCGCAATGTTTGAGTGATTTCTCCACTGATCATGGTAAAAACACATGCACAAACATGCTCATAGATATCACTGTCTCCAAAGTCACATTTAAGAATACAACCACTCTTGCTATTCTCTGGATTAATATGCTTATCAGACACAATCATGTGCTCTACTGAATAAGAGCAGAATAATTTTATCTCTCTTATAACAGTCAACTTCAAACAAAGAAAGCAATCAACTTAATGAAGACAGATGCATAGTCTCGCACAGCCAGACTTTTGAGCATCGCCATAAAATTGGGTCCAGTTTGCAGCATATTCTGGACAGCAGGCATTAAATGTGACCCATCACAGTTGTTTCACATGCTGATTAGGAACGGATTTATCTTAAATAGATTATATAATTAAAACTAACTTATAACTAACTTAAAACTAACTTTGGGATATTTCACCCAAAAATTATGGATTTTTTTCATAATTTACTCACCCTCATGTTTTTTCAAACCTGTATGAATTTCAGACTTCCAAAGTATTTAATTTTTTCCCATAATATGGAGGTCAACGGCTACTAGCAACTATTTGGTCAAAATATCTTCTTTTGCTTGCAGCAAAGTTCAAGTTGAAGTTCATACAGGTTTGGAACAAATTCAGGGTGAGTAAACAATGATAGAATTTTTATTTTTAGGTGAACTCCACTTTGTTATCAGAAAAAACATTCAAAAGTTTGGGGTCTGTAAGATGGATGGATGGATGGATGGATGGATTTTCACCAAGGTTGCATTTCTTTGATCAAATAACACCTACTAATCTAGTCTTTAATGTTACATGATCCTTTAGAAATTGTTCTATTATACTGATTTGGTGCTCTAGTAATAACTTCCTCTTATCAATGTTAAAAAAGGTGTGCTGCTTAATATTTTTGCGGAATAGGAAGTTCAAAAGACCAGCATTTTATTTTATTTGAAATATAAATCTTTTGTAACATTATACATATCTTTGTCCTTAATTAATTATAATGTAATGTGTCCTTGCTAATTAAAAAAGTATTAATTTACAATTTACAGAAAAACACCAACATGGAAAACATTATCATTTCATGTGATTAGTCCTCAGAACCGCACACTATATCAGCCTTATAAACACAAGCTGGACTGGTATCTGATTTCTACCAGCTCTCGCCAAATTTGTGAACAATATGCATCAGACGGTCAGCAAATGGACTTTGGTCAGTCCGTGGGCCCGCCGTCTGAGGTTGAGACTGGAGACAGAGTAAATCAGTTGAAAGTCATAAGGGGAAGAGAGACAGTGGGAGAAGGGCAGAGAAAGGTGAGCGCAATGAGAGAGGAACAAAAATTGGGGAGTAGATTTATGTTTCCACGGCTGCTGGAGTCCCAAGGAGCATTAGCTGAACTCATGAGCTGTAGACAGCTAATCTTTTGTTATGGGGAAATAAACACACAATGTTAGCCACCATTTTACAGCCGCTGATCCAAGGCAGATGATAAAAGATCCAGTGGGCCCAGACCACACGGCTTAATGACCCTGAGAGCAACACACAGTTTATAGACTCTCGGTCCCCATCATCACTCCCTGCTACTAATTTATGTCGAGAAATGGAACTGAACTCAATATAAGAGAAAACAATTTTAGAAAATGACTAAAAACTGCTTTTATAACACCAAGATCCCTTATACTCTCAGACTATGTGTCCTAATATACAATAACAAGCTTGTCTTCATCTTTGTTTAGTTTGATTGATTTATGAGACTCCGTCAAGAAGGAAAATTCCATGTAGCTGTGAACGGTTGCATCCTGTCATACAAAGAAATTAGTTTGAGCACTGAATTAAGATGTATGTGATTACGCCATGCGAATGAGAGCCATTAAAACAATGAGTTTGATTAATTGCCATAGTCCTAAAATCTTCAACAAATCAATGTGTGGTAAGAATCCACTGGGAGGCACCTAATTCTTCCCGTTGTAATTGGGTCCAGCTACAATATTACGCCCCTAACTTCCAAAATCCACAAAGCCGGAACCCAAAACAAGCAACGCCACCTCTTCTCTCCCACAGAGACCAAAAACATCACAAGCATGGCTAGTTCTGTTAAGATATTCCAACTCTACACAGATGTTCTGCTTCTTTGCCTGGAGTGTTGTTAAATTGAACTTAATTGGTTTGCATTTGAGGAAATGGTTGTTCTGTAAGCAATACTTTAGTGAATTTTGTCATGGCTGCCTTGTGGCCGAGCTCTCTACCGTACGGCCCCTTCTGCCTGGTGTGAATGGCTCCTCTGTGTGACCAGCCAAGGATCTGCCAGGGGGACCCTCTCTTTGTTAGGTGAATGGGCACAGCTAGACCATCTTAAAGCACACTAATGTACCATGGCTGGACCACAGAGACCGCGTAGTAATTTGCCAAGCATAATGGCACGTTCGGCCGAGGGGGAACAGACCCTTAAAAGCGAGCTTACAGATGAGGAGTCCCATTCTAGTTCCTACTCTATTCATATCGTAAAAGGGCTTGTTTTCTTCCGGCTCATTGTCATCCTGAACCGAATGTCGGCAAACAACGATGGGTCAAAATTAAAACAACGTGGCGGCTCCTGGCCTCACTAAACAGGCCCAGAACACCATAAATATAAACAAAAAAGAGCGTCTTCTCAGAAAGGCACAATGATTCAGACCAGCTGCTAAAATGATGTCATTTAGCAGGATTAGGTCACTGGTGGATTATACTTTTGGGAGAGGTGCAATGTAAAGTATAAATACACATACAGTGCAGGAGGGAGGAAGTGCAATATTTACAAAGTGCTTGGGGACAGAGAGGGCTGGAACCCTGACTGGCCCATCAGAGAACATGCTGAGTGGGAAAGTAGCCTTAGTCCTCAACATCCAGGTGTCAGGCAATTCGTTATCTTCAGTCCCCAGACAACCAATGTGTTCCTCGGCAAACGAAAGACAACTCCAGAAGGTGCTGGATGAATATTTAAAACCCACACAAGTCACATTTAACCCAAAGGTCAAAAGAAAACAAAATAAGAACTTAGAAAGTATTTAGACATCATGGTATGGTAGGGTCTATTATAAGGCCTTTATGCAGATTAAAATAAATAGGATATGAGAAACTGTGAGGGGGCTACTTCATTCTCAAAATCTCAATGCCAAAAAAAAGAAAAAAAGTTAAGTCTCCTTGAAGTAAGGTAAAAAAAAAAAAAAAAAAAGATAGTGTATATAAATTATAAAATATTTATACAACACTGAACAAATTACAGGCATTATAATAAATGCAATGGATTATTATTAATTTTGAATAAATGAAAATCTGACACTAACATTCAAAAGTCAGTAAGTTTTTTATTGTTTTTTTAAAGAAGTCTCTTATGCTCACCAAGGTTGCATTTATTTGATCAAAAATACAGTAAAAACAGTAATATTGTGCAATATTACCGTTTAAAATAACTATTTTCAATTTTAATATATGCTAAAATGCTTTATTAAATTGCAAAGCAGTACTTTTTCATTTTTCTTTGATAAATAGAAAGTTCAAAAGCATTTATTTAAAATAAAAATCTTTGTTAATTTGTATGTTGATGCTTGCTAAATAAAAGTATGAATTTCTCATCTCTTCCTGGTTGGACATATATTTTTTCTTGCTGTCTTGGAAATACATGCTTTTTACCCTGCTATCACAATTATCTTGAAGTCAAGCAACTACATCCTTGCTAATGACTGCGACTGCCTGTAGACATATATTTTCAGAAATCAATTTCAGTAAGGCTTCTTATAGAACTTGTTACTTTCACACAGTCATATAAAATATATATTCAGAAGAAGTATGAAACATGAAAAAGACCCTGGTGATTTGTCAAACACATCAACATGCAAGCTTTAATTAGCTTACAAACAGCCAATTATATATGTCAGCCTCTCTTACAGTTTCTTTTGAGGATGGGAAAAAAAGAGCCTCAGGCTGTGCCGCTCCACAAATGGCTGCAATGAAATTTTCAGCCCTTTCTCTTTGCCAGAACGCTCCTTTTCAGAACACTCAATTTCTGACATAGAATAAAGGGATTTGACTTGAAAGGCTCCCTGACTTTGTCCGCGGTCACAGAGACAGAGAAATAGAGAGCGAGGAGCGCCGGGGTGACAAAAAAACAAAAGACAAAAAGAGTAAGAAAGAGAATAGGAGGAAAACCTCACACAGATTCTCCAGGAAGACTGGAGATCTCCATTATGACTTGAGTTCCTGTTAAAGAAACCTGTACTCAAGTATGGAGCAGATGGTAGAAGTGGAACTTTGACTAGAGTCTTCCTCAAATTCACAAAAAAAAAACATATCAAATGCATACTAAATACAAAACGTTCTGAATGTTCTAAATTTTTAGACATTAGAAATCCCTAAAAAGTCATTTTAAAACAACTAAAGATGTTTTATGTTAACACAACAGTTAAAAGATATTTAATTACTCAGTTTGGTCAAATCAATTATGTCTTGTTCTATGTTGCGTATGACTGGACACTAGCTTAGAAAAAGTTCCAGATCAGGCAGGGGCACCTTGCACCCTGCTGATGGAAAAGGGTCAAAAGTTAAGTACTTCTGAGGTTCTTTTGTTCCTCGTGTTTCATTCAGATAATTACATCTTGCAGAGTGTTTACAGCAAGGAGAAACCTACTTACAGAGGCATCACGATCATGTCATCTTTGAGGATGCGGGAATATTGCTGAAACAGGAAGCAATCCTTCTGTAGCCTTTGGAGAGAAAATCAGAGGAAGCATATAAGTGTTTTTTTTTTTAGTGAAGCAAGAGAAGGAAGGTACATGTTACCCTACACTCATAAACAAACAACTAACCCTCTCAGTGGAATAGAAAACTCAGGCCCTGGAGCTCTGTTGAAAAGGAGATGCAAGTATGGCACGTAAGAAGGAGCACCAGCCACAGCTACTACACTGGGTTCCCAACCTTTTTTGTATGCTGTACCCCTATGACCTACATTATTTACTTGAAGTACCCCCTGAGATTTTAAGTAATGCATTAGCAAGCACCACAAATGACTGTTTCCAAAGAGGGTTTTCAAGCATTCTTACCACCCTTTCTTTGCGGTTTCGAATCGCCTCATGTACACTACCGTTCCAAAGTTTAGGCTTGGGAAGATTTTTTTGTAATGTTTTTGAAAGAAGTCTGTTTTGCTCACCAAGGCTGCATTTATTTGATCAAAAGTGCAATAAAAACATTATTGTAATAATAATTTAAAATAACTCTTTTCTATTTTTAAGCATTTTAAAATCTAATTTATTCCTGTGATGACAACTTAGAATTTTCAGCAGCCATTACTCCAGCCTTCTGTGTCACACAATCCTTCAAAAAATACAAAAATCTTTTAATATGCTAATTTGGTACTCAAGAAACATTCTTATTATTATCTATGTTGAAAGTAGCTCAAGCTGCTTGATATTTTTATGGAATGTTTATGGATTCTTTGATGAATAGATGGTTATTTGAAACAGCAAATACATTTTAATGTTACAAAACATTTCTGGCACTTTTTTTCAATTTTCTTACTATCAAATAAAAACATACCGACCCAAAACATTTGAATGATAGTTTAATACAGGACAATCTCATATTTAAAGTTGAAATGCTGCTATTTGAATACTCTCATATGTGAACTCACAAAATAAAAGATGGATGAAAATATGGAATTTAAGAGACCAGATACACACAGCAAGTGCATTGTCATTCAAACTTAATGGTGCATAAAATTTATGTTCAAATTTATGTTGAGAGTAAGAACACTAAATGCAAAATGCTTTGAAATGCAAGCAAAAATTAAAGCAAAATGCTTTTATATGTAGACACAACTAATAATAATAATAATGTGATTACTGGCACATACATTACATACTATTAAATCTTAGCTTTAAAAACACAAAACATTTCTTAGGTGGCTCATGATTGCAGATTATATGAATTCTTTGTGTAAAAGGTTCCTGATAAACAACATATTTTTCTTTTTCTTGAGCTCTACTCGTTCTTATTAAACTTTGCAATTAAATGTGCACTACAGCATCCCACAGCTTGGACAACAACCGTCTCTATACTGATAAGAGTAAAGCCCAGTTGTTCAGGACTTAATTAAGATTAGGAAGAGCAAAGAGAGAGGCTGCCCCACTTCATAAGCCTCCACCGACCAGGCACAGGGGCTTTGTGCTCTCTTCGTCTCTGAGGATCTAGTAAAGGTTAGTTCAGCATTGTATAGAGCATAGCAGAGAGCCAGAGTGAGACACTGGGCTAGAGTAATTAAGGAGTAAATAATGAAGCCATTCAACGAACCCCTGCTCCTATGATCTGATTGAGCGGCGTGCCAAGGCTGTGTTCGATAAATCAATTAACAACCACTGAGAGTTACTGCCTTAAAAGGTCACTGAAAAGGAGAAGTTTAAGCCACAGGCCGATCAACCTCAACATCCCCAGATTCTACAGGTGGTTTATCTTCTTAGGAAACTCTTTTTTATATGACTCGCAATTACACTGCTTTTTCCTGTCTGGGCTTTTAAAATGAAATATCTCTTTCCCTTAAATTTTTTTATGTCTTTATTAAAAAAACATGCAGGCTTGCAGCTGGCAGGGCTGGATTATGGATCAAGTTGCCAATGAGGCCAGTGCCCTAGAGTCTCAGACTGCCACGGGCCTTCAAAGCCTCGGGACATGCTGTCCGAGATTGGAAAAGGAAGCTGAACCAGACTGAATATAGTGCAAACTGAACACTAGACCTCCAGAGCTATAAATAAAGTACAATCTGGCCCAATCCGGTCAATTTCTTCCATGGAACATAGTATAAGATATCTTGAAAAATGTCTTGTGTTTTTTTTAAATAACTTATTTTATGTTTCATAGGAAAAAGCATCATACTGGTTTGGATGGAACAATGGTGAGTAAATGACCATTTACATTTTGGGGAGAAAATTCCTTTTAAAAAGAATATGAAAACTAACAGGATACCAGCAGAATTTTTTTAAGTCAAATTTAAGACCTGCACAAAAAATTAATACTGTATATCTATAAAGCGCTTACACTGAATTAAATGCCAGATACAGTTTATTACATTACTAAAGTACCAATAATATCCAGAAAAAAGACTTTCTGCATAATGCAGAACTTATGTCTATGCTTTACTACTTCCAGATGTTCAATTAAAAAGATGAGAGCTAAAATATGCATTCTACAAAATATGACGATGTTTACTTTATAGTGTTTATAATTCATCAACAGTAAACCATAAGCATTCGCTTGGGATAAATGCATGATATTTATTGACTGCGAACTGCTTTGAAACTGTGAACCTGTAGAATGTGCAACAACGCAACATTTGACTTTGAACTTGCACCACTGATATTAATTTAATCACAGCTTTTTGATGTTTAATAATCACATCAGGGTGTATCACAATTTCGGTTTTCCCATACCTTAAATTTAAGACTTCTTAAAATGATAATTAAGATGAGGTAATTATCCCATTTAAGATATTTAAAACTTTTCATGGCGTGTTTACACTTGGCAGGCATTAAAATGAACTCTAGTGTGATTGCTGTTAGTGCAGTTCATTTTAATAAGCCATGTTACCCACTACAGTTGTGTGCAATGAAGGAATTCCTGGCGCAGTTTTGACTCCCACACATTTTCTAAACTCTTCGAGAGATACTACCATAAGTACACACATACAACGAGTGCATTCAGCCCAGAACACAGCATTGTTTTGGATGTTCGGTAAGATCACAAAATATACAACACAAACGCTGTCTAATCAGGTTTTGACTGTATTCTTATACCTTTTGTTTTGCATCTTTAGGTTCGGCGTTAAAAATCACACTGTGAATGCCAAGCAAACCAGAACTAAATGTATCATTTTCTTTTTTGGTCCAGACCAAATAAAACCAAGAGAATTATACAACAAGCATAAACACACAAGAAATTTGATCAAATGTAATTTCAGAGTTTGTAAAGTGAATTACACGAGAATGTTAGTCTGGAATAAAAGGCATTGCATTATGTGCATTTCTTTAAAGAATTTCCATTGAAACACCACTAAAGAGTTATTCTATCAAACCACTAGAAATCCCTCAGGACATATGAGTAATCGTGGTTAATGATATGCGATAAGCTTTGTTCAATGGTCTCTTTGGGTAATATCAAGTTTAAGGTTACAATTCATAGCTTTACCATTTAATGCTTTTTCACAGCTGGGAATAAGCCCAGGAAAAATGATTCATTAAAGGATGACTAAATGAGTCTTACGCTAATCACCATATTGAATGCGACGAACTGCTCGCTGTGGTAGGAATACGATGTGCCGGCTCACAACTAAGCACGTTGTTGCTCGGGTGGGGGATGGCAGTGCACTGTGGGCGTACTCTCCAAACAACCAGGTGTTCACTGTGGGATAAACATTTGCTAACAGGCTTCAACAAGATCCCCAGGGCCCGAGATTAAGGGAGTCTAGCAAGCTATGGATTCAGAATGCTGCTGCAGGTGGGAAGGCAGGCTATGGTTTGATCTCGGAGTTTAAATTAACTGTGACTGTGGGAAAATGATTGTGTCGCTTCAGCACTACTTTATAAAAGTTGCTCCTTGCATGTCTTGTGCAACCTACTGCTGGCCTTCCAGCTCTGAAGGAATACACGAAAAAAGGAGAAACAGAAGAGGTTGCTGTTATTCTAGATTTGACAACAGTTGGCCTGAAACCACTTAATAGCAGTGCTAACCTAAGCCAACAGTTCCCAAATGTTTCTAAAAGGCAAACAACAAATAAATGTATATTACATGTATCACATGTTTTAATGCTGTAAAATACCTATAATTATATATTACATTTTTAATAAAAATTTGAAAAATTTAAAAGAATAACTTGATATAACAATAATCTAAAGAAGTATAAAATATGAAGGAAATATCAAATAAAGAAATATCTTTTATACAGATCAAGATTCAAGATTACTTTATCCCTAGCGAAATTTGATAATTTTTGAATAGTCATCAATAGAAAACAATTCTATTAGTTCAAACTGGACCATGCTAATCAACAAACCCATGGCTGAATTCGTAAATAATGCCAGGCCATATAGCAAAAGCAGTTAGATTAGTATACATTTCTGAATTCAGGCAAGTGGTACAGAACTTTTTATTAGCTATGTTTATATTAAGGTCTGAAAATGTTAAATCTGATTTGGGCCGTTTGATTTTATTTGTTCAGATCAGTCTCGTATACGATTCACAACAATGTGACCCAAGTGCAAACCACTAGAGAATTAATCTATCTCTGCACATGGCCTAAAGTCAATGTCACCCTTAAGAGCCCAAAAAGACTTAAATAAAACAAAACCTGCAGCGAGCAACAGCAAGCAGTGTGAGAAAGATGGCAAGACAAAAAAAAGCCCATGTATGAGAATATACTCTTGAACATCAAATCAAGTCAAACAATAAATGCTCACAAACCACCATAACCAGGATCAACATATTATTGATTTTCATTTGTGTTTGTTAACACACATGTTGTTATTGTTTTTGTTAATGTACCTATATAGGTCCTGTCAGGCAGTGGTCCATTTATACCGATGACAGATATACAAGTTATTTACAAACATGAATATGAACAATCAAAGCAGAAAAGACTGAATTTGAAGTAGAAAAAAAAAACAGAACTGAGCATTTAGACCTATAATCTGAACATAGGCATTGTCTATATCAATTGCAT